TAGCAAGGAAATATTAAATCAAATTAAGCAGTGAAATGGTGTAGTGGGTAAGATGCCTGGTCCCGCTGTTGCAAAGACCTGGCTTGAATAAAAGAGATTCCCGACTATAGCATGCAATGTTTGTGATGCGTAGGATTCACGCGTGTTTAAATGCTCTCCCTGTCTATGTGTGTTTAAAACGTCTGAGAATTAATTAAGAGTTAATTCACAATAATATTAATTATTAATAAATTTTCATATTACTGTTATTTACAAATTTTTATATTATTAATTCATTAAAACCATTGAAATTTATGCCATAGGCAGATATAATTACTTTACAATACTTGATGGGCTAAGGTTTTTTGAATTTTAGTGTGTGAGCTTTAAAGTTGAGTAGTGTATCTTAATATCTTATTGTCTGTCTTTATTGCATTGTATGTCTGTCTGACTGTTTGCCTATTTGTATGTTTGTCTCTGTATTTTTTGTGTTTGTTTATATGTTTGTGCTGCCTGTATAATTGTCTGTTTATTGTGATGTCTGTCTGGTCGTATTTTATACATGTATGACTATTTTTATATATGTATGAATATTTGTCTTTCGGTATGTATGTCTGTCCCTGACTGCATATGGTTGCACGTCAGTTTTTCGAGACAGTTCTCACCTTTGGTTGTGAGCGTGCTTGCCTATCGCCTCATGACCTTCCATGAGGATTCGAAATGCGTCGTCCACATCGTTCCCTTCGTTTCTGAATTTGAATAATTGAGAGAAAAAAATAATAATTACTAATTATGTAGATGATAATTTAGGTTAGGAGATTTAGGATAATTTAGGTTAGGAGATTAGATGTTCGTTTGGTGACCGTCGTAGAATGTGAAAAGCGAGCACTTTAACATACTTTCAACTAAACAGCATAAAATAAGTTGCACGAAATTTCTATTTAAAGTTCAAAATTAGTTTCAATATTTTAAATATTGAGTTAACGTTTGGTCATGGTTGGCGCAGGCAAACATACGTTTTTTAATGAAACTGTGATAATTTTTTTTATTCTTCAAAAAATCAGAATCTGGCAGATGCACAATCTGAAAGAACATTCAATACAGTATTATAACGCTGAGAAGAAAGGTTAAATAATGTTTTTAAATATTTTCATAACGAACCAACGTTATGTACCTAATATAAACTGATGAAAATTTATAAAAATTCACACGTTTTATAAAATGTTGAATTTGTACGCGCAACTGTAACTAAAATGCATTCCGATGAATTTTTAACATCTGAAAAATGTCTCCTCCTCTACTTCTTCAAAAAAGTCAAATTAAAATGTTCATTTGTTATTCTAGTTAATCCACATCTGACTATTTCTTTCTTTTTTCTGTTTTTTATTCAAAAACTTTTTTTTAACAAAACAATTTTTTTTTCATTTTGCAGCTTGTTAGAATCAGTTTACTTTACGGATTTCTTGAAATGAGGAAGAATAGCCTCATATATCAAATTGTCTGCTTCTATGTGTAACCCACCTACTGTGCGATGATGATGGTACTGCTGTTAGCATCTTGATGAAAATAAATTTTTTCCTACACGATGAAAAAAATGTTTTTGTTTATTATTTCAATTTAGCCCGTTTAAATGAAAAATCTTCCTCTTCCAAATGGAAATTTGTTGGATGAAACGAGTTTTTAAGCATTTTGTGTCTTAAAAAATGACTGTCTAAAAAAATTTGTGTTTCACAGACGCTATGAAAGCATTTGTTATAACACATTATTTTAAAATTTTCAAATACCCATAGAAACCTATATGTAATTCGTTAATGTTGTAAAACAAGAAAATTAAATAAACCAAGAGCCCATTGTAATCATCTTTTTATATTATCAAAGTTTAAAGTTAACAATAAAGAAATAAAATAAGAAACAAATGTCTTTTTTCATATATTTAAAAAATATATTCCATTTACTTGGAGACTTTGACGGGACGGAATGAAGTGGAAATGAATTTCTTGGAGTTGGTTTTTACATGTATGTCATTGCAAACTTTTTTAAATAAATTTTTCTAGAAGCTGCCAAATCAAAAATCGTTTTTCAAAAGTAATACTAATTACTTTGTTTAGTATTTTTCCTTGTTCAGTTATTCATTATTGGATACAAATTTTAAAGTTTGATGCTTCTTTTTAGAAAGCTTAACATTGGACAATTGTAAGTTTTTATAAAATTTTGTTTTGAAGGATTTTTAATATAATTAAAAATTTATTATTTTCAATTCAATATTTATGAATATAGGAAATGTTTCGAAAAAATTTGCTATTTTAAAAACTCGTAGACAACATCCAATTTAATCTGTTTAATCTAACAAAGAATGTTAAGTCACCACGAATAACTTTAACGTATACCGGCAAATGGTGATAAACCATGTAGACAACTATGCACAGGCACACACATCCTACACACAACAACATGCAACACAACAACACTTCAGATTTACGGTGGTCATATTTTTCGCCCTAATTTTGTTAGCTAAGAATTCAGCTTACCAGTTACTACGAGCCACATTAATTTATACCCAAATATACACGAATACATGGATACGGTTTTCTTGGAGTGATTATTGTTATACTAAAAATTAAATGAAACGCGAGAATCTTTTGGATATTGTCTTTAGTTTTTATTGTGTTTGTTGTGTCTGTCACGCGGGGTTAAATAATTTTAAAGTATTATTAAAACGCAAAAAAATTAGTAAATTAATTTTGAATAATAAAAATAATAATGGTAAAAATAATAGAAATACCTTTTTCTTCGTTGCACAACGAAACCATCAGCAACAATCGTCAGAGAGACTAAACAATAGACCATCGCGAGACACATGACAATTTTATCAAGTGGAATCATGATTTTTTTGTTAATAATAATATATTTTATGTCTATACTATTTGTGTTATATTACGATCAAATTAAAAAGAATTATTCGACGGAATATTAGTTAATAATTTACTGTATTTTATTAATTTAGTTATTTGTTAAAAAAAGAGGGAGTGTTTTAAAAGTTGTTGGTATGCAACGTCAAGTTTGTTACTTTTTATGGAAACATAATTTTTTAGTAGGTAAATGGCGCTTGTGTTCACCGCAATATTCTGGGCGTATTGAGCATTTCATCTTTATATATATATATATATATATATATATATATATATATATATATATATATATATATTTACATTAGGTACATATATATCTCACACACACACACATATGTTGTTTCCGTATCTGCGTATGTATGTCTGTGTGTGTGCGTATGTTGTGACCAAGTTTCACACACACACCACACACACACACACCACACACACACACACACACAAACGATCCACCAAATGTATGTGTGCGTGCGTGCGTGTGTGTGTTAGTATATGTATAAGTTTATTTATGTATATTTGGTTACAACACTCACTCAATCGGAGTAGAATGAGTTTCTACGGCAGTTTTACCCGTGTTGGGAGTCTCAAGTGCTTTTTTGTCAGCGTCAGCTTTCTCGTCGAATCTGAATTTTAATTAGAAAATATTACTAACTAAGAAATCAAAAACCAGGAAAAATCATATTCAGAAGAATGCCAGAAAACGGCTTTTAACTAAACCTCTAATAAGAGCCATTCAACTTATATTATTTAATAAAAATTTATTTATATTATCTAATAAAAATTGTTTTTCGTTAAACATTTTTCAAGTTTACTCAAGTCAATTTTGATCTGACCCACTTCAGAAACCAACAAATCACTCGCTCTTTCAGATAAGAATGGGTTCCTAAGGCATTTTTTACCCGTGTTGAAAATTTAAAATGTTTTTTTTTGTCAGCTTTCCCATCGAACCTGAATTAGTTATTACTCATTCCCTCATAATTAATTCTCAAAGGCGACGGATCGCTCTGCATTCGAATCGAGTCACTACAACCTTAAGATCAAACGCTCTAACCATTACACTACTTTGCCGCCTAATACGAGTGAAATATATCATATAACGGTAACCTTTTCATTTGTTGTAGGAAGAAGCCCTCGAAAGCCACCGTGCCAGAGACCCAGCAGAGCAGCACCAACACACAACACCTCAAAACTTTGTTAGACTGCATCATACTGTTTTGATTAATATTAAACTTAATGTTTTTATATATATATATATATATATATATATATACTATTTTTGTTACATTAAAACAAAGTTGTAAAAAGATTGATTGGATTAGTTTATATAATTAAGAAATTATGATTAAATTTTTTCTCAGTAATATATTTGATGTTGATGTATTTGATTTTATTGTATTTGTATATGATGTATTGTGGATGTGGATAAGATTTGACGCTTTTTATATGGTAAGAAATTTTATAAATAAATATGTATATTCACTTAATCTATTTTAAAATATAATTGCAAATCTAACAACGGTAAAGATTAATTACACAAACAGAAAAAGGCTAGCCATCTACTAAAGAAAAAAATCCTTTCCATCAAATTATTACCAAACTTCAAAGAGCCAATGATATACTTCAAATAATTGCATTCAAGTTTTCAACAATGTTTGACATGTTTTGTGTGAACCGTTTGTTTGTATCGTAAGTAAGATTGGTTCACACAACAGAGCAAACAAAGCAGGATATGTGAATGGATGGTTCACACACCACATCAAACTCTGGTTATCATCGCAGTTCAAACAGTATCTTATCAAGGTTTGTTTGCCCGTGCGATAACGCTACATTTCACTCCGTTTGATGTGGATATATGGATATATATGGATATACCCATGGGGCTGCTCACTTCTATTTATTTACTTCTCTCGTCAAAGTTCATTTCGTGAAGGACCGCTGTTCTACAAATTGAAAAACGTTTTAACTTTTCATGGAAAAAATGTTTTTAGAAACAATTTTTTTACAGTTTTTTTTTATCCAGATTTAATGAGGAACGTTAACATTTAACGAAAATTTACTTAAATTGAGACTTCTTAGACGTTGATATTTGATAAAAATACATATTTAAATCTAATTTTTCAGGTTTACCAGGGTAGACTCTGGCTACTACTACCTCAACAAAAAAGATAAAGTAACTTTAATAAAATTGTTCTTTAAAAACACAGGTTTTTTTGGCCTTGATAAAGGAATTATTACGTAGAATAGACAAAAATGTCGCAAAGTTCATCTATCATCTATCTTTTGACAAATGCTCTTTAAAAAATTATTTTTTAGATAAATTATTTCCAAGCCAGTTTTTAACAATAGTCATAATGTGGTAATTTTATTTGCTAAGCTAATCGTTGCTAACCTCGCGTACGTTCTCAAGTATTCTTATTTAGCCGGGAATCTTTCTGGTGAGGTTGATGAAGTGTTTTTTAGGTGCAGAAATCATCAATTACCTCATTTATTAGGTATGCTTGATGATTATTATATATTCTGAAATAAATTTATTTTTAACGATCAGCAGTAGAATTTCATTGATGTATTGTAATATTGTATCATATCATTGATTTGTTTGTTTGAAGCTGAGGTTTTAATTTTGATTTGATTTTATTTAATTTTATTATTTTAGTGTTAGTCTCTTGAAAATTGGAGTGAATGATAAAATAAAATAAATATCCCGCCATGGCCTAACTTTAAAAGTTTAAAAAATTTAAATTTTTGTAAAATTGGTTTATTGCAAAATTGTTATTCTTATTGAGAATTGCTGCTTTTGTGCCCAGTTGAAAATTATAATATAATATTTTATAATATAATAGAATGAGACTTCTAAGAAGACATAATATTATAATAATATAATATAATATAATAGAATGAATTATTTATATTTTATAGGACAGCAATACCACTTCTTCTTTAATTAAGGCCACTTCAATTGATTTTCTTTAATTTATTTTAATAAGACTTTTCACTTTACACTTTAAAAGTTAATGTTTTAAAAGATTTTAATTTTATTCTTTAACACTGCCACAATTAGCTCAAGGGTAACTTTTGCATTGTTAAAAGAGCATTTAGAAATCTTCTATTTAGTTTATTGTTATAACCAAATACAAATCTTACCTAGTCTCTGGGACTCTTCCTAGTAAATTTTATTAGATTGGCTGGAAAACAACAGCCAAGCTGCTGTTTAATAAATTTTACATTCTGCTGAATGACACTAGAAGAGACTGCTCTCTGTTTTTACTCTACTATTTCAATGATTAACTAACAACAGGCTCCAGTTTTGAATTGTAACTGGGTTGGCAGCCGAGAAACACAATCATGTCGTACATTGATAAAATGGTGATTCAGGGCATACGGAGCTTTGGACCTGGTGATGAGAACCGAGGTATGATCCACTTTTTCATGCCTCTCACTCTCATACTTGGACCAAATGGAACTGGAAAAACTGTATGCTTTGTTGTTTATCTGAAAATATTTTCAATTTTTTTAAAACATTTATTTCATGAAGCATGATAAAGAAACACGAAAAAGGATTCCATAAAAGAAAAGAAAATTCTAAATAATATGGAACCCTCACAAATGCTTCAATCATGCTTCAATCAACCAGTCATTGCACATTAATGATGCTAAACTTCAATTGTACACTTTGCCATAGCACATTCCCATCAATGAACAAGAACAACATTTGTTTGATTATAGACCATTATCACTCATATGAAAAAATATACACACCTATGAATAAGATAACACACACACAGATAACACGTATATACAAACACACATAAAGACATGCACACACATTACTTATACAACTCACTCACACACACACAAACACATGCACACTACAAACTTGACAGACAATTATTGAATGCCTGAAATACATAACAACTGGTGAACTGCCACCTGGCGGTCGAAACAATGCAGCCTTCATCAACGATCCTAAGGTTATTAAATCTCTACACTATTATTTAAAACATAATTTAAAAGAATTATTGTCTTAGGTTGTCATAATGCCATGTGTGCTATGTTATCATGGATGCCAGCATTTGCATTCAAACTCGATACACCATTTTTTATTTATATTATTGTCCTCTCTTAATGGCATGGCGTTTTGTAATATTGTGTTGCTGAAATAAAAATTTGTTGATGAGAGGTGCTATACAAATCATTAAGTGATCCACCACAAATACAATTCAAAACAAAGTATAATTTTTTTTTAAATTTGGAAGGTCGCTAGGGAAACAGAGGTAAAGGCCCAAGTTCGTCTGCAGTTTCATGATGTTCGTGGGGATAAATGTCTTGCACAGAGATCAGTTGTTGGCACTCAGAAGGTTTTTATGTTTGTGTATCTATCTATCTATCTATCTATCTATCTATCTATCTATCTATCTATCTATCTATCTATCTATCTATCTATCTATCTATCTATCTATCTATCTATCTATCTATCTATCTATCTATCTATCTATCTATCTATCTATCTATCTATCTATCTCTCTCTCTCTCTCTCTCTCTCTCTCTCTCTCTCTCTCTCCCTCTCTCTCCCTCTCCTCTCTCCCTCTCTCTCTCCCTCTCTCTCTGTGGTGCTTTTGTTTCTGTATTATCTGTGTGTTTACGCTTATGTTTGTCTTTGTTGTTCGTTTCATTTTAAAATTTCTATGCATCTTAAAGTTCTAAATGTTGATTTCTAAGTTGAGTTCTAATTAAACTTTTGGTTATCAATTTCAATTTAAACTTTTATAAATTATGCTCTTAATATATTTTCTGTTGTGAAATGATGTGTTAACTTTGGTTTCAACAGTATTTCACTGAAGCTGACAAGTAATTCTGATTGAAATCATTATAGACTTAGTTTTTTTATTACTGAAAGTTTCATAATATGGAACTATTAACTATGCTTTCACACTTTTCCACATGTAAAAAAGAAAAATAAAGTAGAGTTCAAGACATTGGATGGCCTGATACAGAAGAAATTGAGTAACGGTGAAACTGTTACTTTGAATTCTAGATGTGCAGAAACTGACAAAGAGGTTGCTCTCTAAATATCATTTGTCTTTGCAGATTTCTTATTGAATTTCTCCATGTTGGTTGATTTAATGGCCGGTTGATATAGTTTTATTTTGAGCAAACTGGTGTTTAAAAATCAATAATAAAAATATGCTTTCTATAAAACCATTGACTTTTCTCAAATTTAATAAAATAAGCTAATAAATACACAAGGACCAATACTTAAATGGAAAATTAATTTAATTTATTTTATTACAATGTTATGTGGAGTTGTCTTTAAAATGAGTGGAAATGTTGTTATGCATCCAGATGATCTCTCTCCTGGGAGTATCCAAGCCAATCCTCGAGAATGTTATCTTCTGCCATCAGGAGGACTCAAACTGGTACTCATTCATCTGTTCATTCATTCATTCATTCATTCATTCATTCATTCATTCATTCATTCATTCATTCATTCATTCATTCATTCATTCATTCATTCATTCATTCATTCATTCATTCATTCATTCATGTTTTCGTTATATCACTCACTTTCAATCAATCTTCGTTTAGCGTCCAGATTGATTGATTGAAGTGAGTTATTTCACTCATTCATTCATTTACTTATCCATTCATCTATTCATCCATCTATTCATTCATATATGATATATGATATCCATTCATCTATTCATCCATCTATTCATTCATATATGATATTTGCTGTGTATGATAATGACCTGCATTCAAATAAATTTTGGTAGCAGTGTTTGTTTTGTTCTTTTTGATTTTTAACTCGTTCTACATTTGATTTTTAACTCGTTCCAGTTTGAGAGAACATACAGAATTCACTTATAATATAATAATAAAACAACTCATTGTAAGCCTATACACATATATGGTGTAAATCTTTGTAAACATAAACTCATGATCAACAGTCTCTTTCTTATATTTGTAACTATTTTAGACGACTTACCAACTAAAACTACGAAAATTCTTGTCATTTTTCGTTTCTAAAAATATGAAATGTTCCGATTTATTGAGATATTATTGTAATTGTGATTATTGAATTGTGATTATTGTAATTGGAAAATTCTCCGTTGTGGTAAACATTTCGAGGAATCTACCAGTTGCAGTTATTAATTTCTTCATTATGAAATGATAAAAATGAAAAAAAATTGAAAAAAATAAAAAACAGGCCACTAAGTGAAGGCAAGGCCCTTAAGATGAAATTTGATGACATATTTGCGTCAACTCGTTACGTCAAGGCTCTTGATGTCATCAACAAATGTAGGAAAGAGCAGGTTGGAACCTGATTTGTGTCACAGTGTAATATCACCATGGTGATGGTGTTGGTGTGTTGTTGGGAATAAACGATCTTCCAATCTTCTAATCCAAATAACTTACTCAGCTGGTTTATATTTTGTGTGTGTGTGTGTGGTAGGTGTGTGTTGATTTCAATTGTAACCAGCACACGCCCACTGATTCACTGACAGACTGTACAGATAAAAGAGTACAAGAGTGAGATGAAGTACTTGAGGCAGAACAAGTCTAAAGTTGAAGAGGTTTTGAAGATTTTTATTGTTAGAAAATATGACAATCTGATAAATTCATTTGATAAATCATTAAAAATCTGTATGTTAGATTGCTTGTTCATAATTTTTTGTTTAAAATTGTGGATTTTATTTATGTATTGAATTTTCAAAATAGTTCTAGCAGGATTAACAAAATAAAGTTTTATAGATTAGTGAAATAATTTAAATAAAATTGAATGGGTTTGAATTGTTGCCACAAATTTTTTGACAAATCCAATGTTTTCATGGGGAAGATTCAAAGTCGTCTGCTGAATTTGGAGGAACGGCGGGAGGCGAACCTGGATGGTTTGAAAAATGTGAATTTCAAACTGGAGCCTAAGTTGGTGTGTAACTTGTAATTGGTTCCTTTTTACAGTTTTTACACATGGTTATTGATGATTGGTTGATTGAATTTTCTCTCTCCATCCATCTTTCTCCCTTTCTCTCTATTTTCGTCAGTTTCTTAAATATCTCTTAATTTGATCCAGGATAAATTGAATGCCCTGGAAAGAAGAGAAGATGATATAAGGAAGATCAGCAATTCAGTAGGTCAGTTAGTTCATTGCACGCACTCACACACGCGCGCACACACACACACACGCACGCAATCACACAAACACACACACATACTAAATCACACTTTATTATTGTATATCATTGCTTATTCAAAGTTGATATATATAGAAGAGATAATTTATGTATTTTTTTTTAAAGAAAATTTTATTTATTCAGCGAAGTTTGAAGGGGAGAAGGGGCAAGTTAACAGAGTCATTCAAGATCTCCAGAAAAACATCAAACAATATTTTCACGGTTGAATAGCGGCTTGCTGTTTTTAAGTTTAAATTTTATTACAAAATCTTAAAATACTTAAGTGAAGGTTGTTTCATTTGAATGTAGAGTGGAATGTGTGTTACAGTGAGAATGACATGTGGACAAATAAAATCATTAAGAGTTTGTCATGTGCGTGTTTTTACTTAAGAGATGATGGAGGTTATTTTTTAAAGGATGATAAAGATGATCTATAAGGGTTAAGGATGATGTGACATTTTTTAAAAAAATGTGGCATTGTATGAATTTTTATGATGGTATGTCTTTGTAAGTACAGGTTCCTGTGAGGAGCTTAATGAAGAAATCACAGAATTTAAAAATAAAATGCGTGACAAAGCTGAGTGCCTCAAAAACGTAAGTTCTTCTATAGTCTGTTTTGTCGTAATTGATTTGATTGTGATGTTGAAGATGGCTATATGAACGAGAAAACAATCAAATTTAACAATATTTTTTTTTCAATAGAATTGGATTTTAAATTCAACATTTTATCACTCTATGCTTTTTACACAACATCTGCTTGTGTAATCAGAGTAACTTAACTGTTATTTATAATATTTTTAACTTATTTCAATGTACAACTAACTGCCAATTATATTAGAATGTAGAGAGAGAGAGAGCGAGAGAGAGAGAGAGAGAGAGTTTATCATTTTAAAGAGAGTTTCAATTGATAAAAATAGATTGGGCAACCTCAATCAATTAAAATTGTTAAAGACGTCTGACTTAATGTTTTTTAAATTAATTAAAATAATTTGACCTTTGTTTAATTTGTTTCTACAGTTTTCTTGTTGTGGTTTATGTTGCTCAACGACTAAGGCTTTTGGTTTTGTTTTAAATGAAATAAAAATAATGAAACCCTACATGTGAAATGTTTGTGACTGTAGCACCAGGAAGAGTTGAATTCAGTAGACGGCATGATGGTAACCACCAGCAAGCAAAAGTCGAAGATTGTGATGGAACATGCCAGGTTGCAACAGGAGTCTGAGGTTTGTGGGTGTTTGTTTGTTAGTTGTTTTTAGTTGTTGTTGATGCTGTTGTTGTTGTTGTTGCTGTTGTAATTGTTGTCATGGTTAGAATACATTTTTTCTGAAATTCTACAAATTTCAAACAAATTTTTTTACACACGTTTTTATATTTTATGTGTAGCTATTGATTGAAGGCAGATATATAATTCAAAAATATTTTATAGGGTTTATAATATATATATATATTATTAAACTTTTGGTAAGGTTGTACTTCTTTTTGTTATTTGACAGATGAATTAATTGCTAGCATCAATGCATTAATGCAGTTAAGTTAGCTTACTTTATCATTAAATGTTTCTAAAGGTCAAATTTGATTTCATTGAAAAGTTGCAGTGCAATAAATGTGTATTTATATTTCCTAAAACATTCAATTTTGTTAATTATATAATTATTTAATTATATAATTAATTAATTAATTTTTCACCAATTAACACAAACATGACAGAGAAATAAGAAGAACATATCAGAAAGAAACAGCTTGTTACAGCAAATCAACGTCGGTCACAGACTTCTCGGTCAGTTAAGACGTCAGCATGTTGAATAACTATGTTCTTTTATTTCATTATCTCATTGCTTTTCATATTTTGTACGTTATGATTGATTGAATGAATGATTTGTTGATTGATTGAATGATTTGTTGATTGATTGAATGATTGATTGATTGACTGACTGACTGACTGACTGACTGACTGACTGACTGACTGACTGACTGACTGACTGACTGACTGACTGACTGACTGACTGACTGACTGACTGACTGACTGACTGACTGACTGACTGACTGACTGACTGACTGACTGACTGACTGACTGACTGACTGACTGACTGACTGACTGACTGACTGACTGACTGACTGACTGACTGACTGACTGACTGACTGACTGACTGACTGACTGACTGACTGACTGACTGACTGACTGACTGACTGACTGACTGACTGACTGACTGACTGACTGACTGACTGACTGACTGACTGACTGACTGACTGACTGACTGACTGACTGACTGACTGACTGACTGACTGACTGACTGACTGACTGACTGACTGACTGACTGACTGACTGACTGACTGACTGACTGACTGACTGACTGACTGACTGACTGACTGACTGACTGACTGACTGACTGACTGACTGACTGACTGACTGACTGACTGACTGACTGACTGACTGACTGACTGACTG